AATGGTTCCCGGCATTCCACCCTGGATGTTTGCAAATATTTGATCTTTGGCATTTTGATCTGGTATTTATATCACAATATGAGGAGGTGATCAGAGTTAAACACCGAACCCTTTGGAAGCACTATGAAAAAATGGTGCAATTATTGGTACACTCCACGAAGCGCAGGGACCTATATATCGTTTTTTTCTTCTTTCAAGTTCTATGCGGACTAGCCGCTTAATTATCACTATCATAAAACTGTCATCAGTCATAAGAACTATGGGCAATGTATTACGGTTCAAACCTGGAAGTGAACCCGCTAAAACATGAGGTTAGAGGTTTATCTACCATTACTTTTCGATTTATCTGAAATAAATCCAGCCAACGCCTATTCATAAAAGGCCATCTGTCAGCTCGAAGACCAACACAGAACATGGAAAGATAAGAGACCTTTAAAGTAGATCTGCAACTGTGTGTATATAGTTCGTGGCGTGGAAGCTGCTGCAAATGCGTAAGATAATATGACGTCCTTTACGAATTCATAGGTTTATGAACTCAATTTATATGCCTAAATAAATAAGACGCGCACTGCTGCTTTGTCACGTTCATTTGAGGCTAACAAAGTTTAAATAGCAGAATAACCTAGATATGTGAAACCTGACTATTAATGACGCAAGTAGCTACTTTTAAAAATGTCAGGAAAAACGAAACTTTCTAAAAAACCAAAACTAAAACTATTTCAAGACATACAAGTACAACTACTCAGTCGAATACAGTACATTTCTGCTAACAAGGAGAGTAAACAAATCACTGAACTAAATATTATAACGAAAAAATTAGGCACCTCGCTGCGCTGCTGAAGTCTGCGGTTCAGATCAAATATTCGGTACTCGAGGTTGAAGCACGGGTGACCACGATTTCTAAAACAAAATACTGAGTCTGAAATACACATCACAGCTGTGATAAAAAAAAGTCCACAATGTGCTGTTTATCAGTGAAAATTAATAATCATACGACCTCATGTCCTGGCTGATTCAGAAGCACCGTCGGTCATCCCCCTTCTCCTCATCATAATCATTTTCACTAACGATACCCTGGGCGTGATGAATAAAATGATCCTGATCGATAGTGGTAGTAATTACGAACATAAAACTGATAAAACTATCTGATACAACCACTTAAAATAATATTTCCGGTGACAATCAGGATCATAGTCACCGAAATAGTCAGTAATACGATAATGACTATTGTACATATGACTAATTACTATCATATACATGACAATGCTGATGAAGATTGCGAAGGTGACGATTAGAATGATCATGATTTTGACGACGGCTACGATGATGAAGAGAAGAATGAGAACGACAGCAGTAATCATGACAATAAGGGTAACCATTATTGCTGTCGCTATAGACCGTAATGATTATTACCGCATCACGCTGTTAATAGCAATGATCATGATGATCATGACAGTGGTAATAATCATCATGCAGATGAACATAATTTGAATTATAATCACCATTACTATATAACTGACGTTGGTAGTAAGGATTCTCACAAGGCAGGCACTATGAACGAAAATCTCGTTTGACGATTCCCCATGCTATAGCTGATGAAAACAAGAACAAAAACCGATATTTTCGTACAGGAGAAAGTTCAAGATCATGAGAAAGTGATGAGGATCTAAACGTCGTACCATTTAACATACTGATGGTTTGCGTTATGTATAATTAATTAAACCAAGTTTATGCTGTCATTCAATATAACAACCAATGCACCAACACAATAACCCATCCTTTGAATATAATTATTACGATAATAATAACTGTAATAGCATAATTACAAATGATCACTACCATTGCAATCATTTCGATAGGAACCATGGTTATAACCGCATTACTAAAATTATCACAAGGATGAACATACCTACTGTTATCGCAAACGTCGATTAGAACAGTAATGACCACGGTCCCATCATGATTGCGATAACAATAAAGATGATGGCACTGCAGCTCTATGACCCCGTGTACAGGGTTCGAGTTGAACTGACGTTCATAATACTCATGTTCTACTTCGTGCACTGTGACAGAAATGAAACACTAATTACCGATGGCTGTGACAGTGATTATGATTTTGGGTCAAAGATAACCACCATTACCCGCTACCAAAATGCACAGTTGTCGCTCCCTTTATCGTCAAGAATCATAATCATGGCAGTGATGCTGATATCACAATCATTTTAATGATTATAATGAGACTATGGTGAAAAATAACACAAAATGATATATTTTATACACATCAAGTGCAGACATTTCGGGTCGCATTTCAAATTCTTCTTCAAGGCAGATATGTTGATAACGTTCAGTGGTCGTTCGGGTCACTTGTAGGAGGTGATGAGTTTGGAACTGAGAGGATGATCAAAAGTGGACCACACAAATAATGAAAATAACGATTATTGTGAAAAATAAGTCGTGATAATGAATATATGGATTCTTATGATAATGGTAAGGGGGTGACCATTTCCACCATTACTGATCATCAATATCAGTTTTCTTGGCTATAATTCAACTCGTTATAACATCATCATTATCATTACTACCGCCGTCAATAACGACTGTCATTAAAATCGCAACTGCTATTGTGTCATGATAATTATCATCAGCAACAACAGCAAAACCATCAATATTCTTTACCGTAATCAGTGTTATCAATCATGAACACTATCATAACAATGAATACAAATATGACTGATCAACTCTTCATGATCGTCACCATTATTGAATTTATGATGATCTGCAGCAATAGCAGCAACTTCATCAATATCATGACCACTTGCCATTATCGTTACTATCACGAATATCTTTATCATCACAATGGATATCATTAATATAATTATAACTGCGAAAGAAATACAAAGGTGGATGTTTCAAAAGAGTTACGCTGAGGCTGTCGGCTGAAACAAAGTAAAAACATCAGTCGCTTTGAGGTTCAGTGCATCAGACACTGCGGATTTGTCTAACTTCATACACTGCGTAAATCTGAAAGAAACAGGAAGAAAATAAGGCAAAATTATTGTTGTATATCTTCGAAAAATGTGGAAAGCATACTGCTTTCAAAGTTTTTGGCTTCTAATCTTTACTGATGAGCAAACAACAGAGGAAAAAGCTTGAGCTCTACCGAAGCGGCACCTCATGAGCAACTTTCTTTTTTTCGTTCGAGCAGGCGACAAGTGTCTAATCCTGTTTACATATCTGCGCAAGTCTGTCATGATAACTGTCAAAATACACACGAAGATGGACATTAATGCCAAATAAAACACAGACGTTCATCAAGGAAAATAAAAAGGTCCATCAAAGGTTGTTTGTTGTGATCGCTTTCTTGAGCCATTTAAAGAAGCTGAGCGAACTTCTGTGGTTTGTGACGTCCATTGCATCCGCAGATTTTCAACAGTTTTGCTCTAAGGCGCTGGATGTTGACCGCAGAAGCAAGCATTCCTCTCTGAAAGCAGATCTGCTTTTCGCTTGTTCCTCCATGTTGCACACTGGCCTAATGGACGATGTCTGCCGAGTTTTGGTTCCGGTTCGAGAAGTTCACGCACTGGAATGAACGGTGTATGTCCAACCAGTTTAACTAAGGGCGCCGAAAACTCCTTAATCTTTATATCTACCGAAGTCACTAGCATCCGAAAGAGAATAGAGCCATTCCATACGTAGTAATAGTAAGCCAAAGCTGCAATAGTTACACCATTGTTCCTGCTCCTTCTTAGAACAACTGTCTCCATGCTGCAAGATAACATTGATCTGACAGAGGGCACTCTGCTTTGCAGAGGAGGATTTTCGTGAAAAGAGTAACTCCTTCAATCAGACCAAATATCAGACAGATTTCCAGATGCACTCAAGGTTAAGGCGTTGCTCCTATTTAACTCTGGCTGGATAGTGCCATCGCTGGCGTTAATGAAGGTCTAGAAACTTAAACTGCTCCATCTCAACGTTCCATTTTTAAACCAGCTGCGCCAGATAGGTTTCTAATAAAAGTTCCGGGCGTTAAGGAACAGGTAGGCTTTCAGAGCTTTGTTGCATGCGATATTCGTTATGTGACAGAGCCCCTTTCCGTACAACTGACCAAGACAATATCATTCCTGGTCGGGAAGATATCTAACCGAATAACTTAAACTGCGCTTTCTCTGTAGGATGAGACCTTCGTCTCTGCCAGGGTCAGTACTGTTTCAGAGAAAAAAGTAAACAACAATGTTGAATAGCACAGGAGAAAGCACATTCTCCTTTATAACTCCACAGTTAACAGGGAATGATTCAGATAGCTCTCATTTAACTTTGACAGCAGACGTAGTTTTTGCATAAAACTCCTACAAAATAGAAACGATGTGCTCAAAGATCCCATACCATTTCAAGATTTTTCACATCGTCAGACGATGTAATGAATCAGCTAAGCCTTAAAGTCGAGGGCGAACTCTCCCATGATCTACCTCCCTCAGCTGTTTCAGGACAGTACACGAAAAAGGTGTTCTTCTGGAGTCGACAGTGACATGAATATCACGATAATTGATATTACGAGTGTTATATTACAATAATTGAAACATTCGATCACCCGAGCGCCTTTAAACATAGGGACAGTTATTCCACACTTCCATTCTGCGGGAAAACGTTTGTAGTTCCACATTTGATAAAAAAAATGGCATGATACTCCATTCTACCATTCTCGTTCCTGGAATTCGCGGGTATGTATTATAGATGTGTACTAAACTACAATGGTGGTAGAAAATTAACAGTCGGAAATGAGGAAACTGAAGGGCAGTCGTTGGAAATGCTCAACAAATCTTTCTGACCTG